AGGGAAGCAAAAACAGTAGCACTTTAAAGGAAAAGAGCTGTTAAGTAAAAATGTGGTTTCTGCAATCATAGAGAAAAACCTTCATAAGTCCTTTGCCTAACTAGAGGGAACATGACCAAACAGAAAAAGAGGAAACATTTTACTGTGCAAATGAAGGATTAGGATTTCGTGCATGGTTAAACAAAAACTTTTTATAACGTACAGAACTGATAAGATCAGGTGCTGCACAGTGGAGGGTAAACACTGTAATCTGTATGAGGAAATAAGTGAGTACGCTGTTAGAGTGATTTCATGAAATGTTGTTATTGTTGTGCTTTAGGTTGTAAGCCTTGTCTTAAAGAGTATGTTCAGATATTCTTTTGTTCTCCTCCCCAGCCTTTAAATTGTGGGGAGGCCGTAATGTTTAACTACAGGCACATTACATGCGAGATCCTGGTTTCCTTATCTTCCGAGGAATGGTCACTCCCGGCCACTTAGTGGCTCGCCTATGCTTGTATATGGTGAACCGTTAAAGTTGAGCCATATACTGGAGGAGCATAGATGGCCCTTTTGTAATCAGCAGGAAGTCACACAGAAATACACACACACACACACACACACACACACACACACACACACACACACACACACACACACACACACACACACAGACTGATGTTGTTTAGATATGCCTGCTTAGGCATGTCACATGTATTTGTAAAATGCATATTCATGCATATTCATGAGGCTAACCAGCTTGCAGAGGGAAGGTAGTTGAAGTAGTTCGGAGGCAGCTACTTCCTTTTCAGCAAATGCAATAAAGAGTGCTGTGCTATCTCGTTCTTGAGTGAGTGTCTGCTTATCCAGCAGTTTCAGGTATATATCCCTGATAGGGATGGGTGCCATGATGGCACCGGTTCAGACATAAACGGCAGTAACCAGACCGAAAAGCAGCGCACATTTCGGTGCTTTATTTCGGTGCTTTTTTTTCCTGAGATGTCATACACTTTGAATTCTAGCCAATCATTTTACGTTTACGAGGATAGTAGGCGGGTCCAGGTATGTACATTCTTTTAGAGCAGAG